TCAAACCTCCCAGCATGAGTCAGAGTGATTTTCTAAATTCGGGCTCGCTTTTAAGAATATTAACATCTTTAAATCTATAATATATTTTCCGTCAAATCAGAAAGTCACTTATACACATCTGCGGTTTACTTTCTTTTGCCTTTTTGGAGACAGCATATTACCGTTTTTACCAGTGCCATAAATTTAACCCATTTTACTTTCACTCTTCTGGATCAAGTCGATGGGTTGTTTTCTTTATCAACACTTACTCATGGTAATTTATGTCTCTGTTTAAATGGGGTTATCGGCGCAATTCCATCTTCGTAAAATTATCTGGCAGAGATTTTTGGACGGATTGTTGATGTGATTAAATAATACGCTTCTTGCTTTTTTTAAACATTGCTTTGTGGAAGAATGACAAAAAGACAGGGGCAGTCAGAATGTTGTTCATCCAGTTACTCGTCTGCTGCGCGCTCTTTATTGCCTGTTGAAAGCACCGCAGTCCCGGTGATACAGAGGGAAACAAGTCTGGAGACTTCTGCGCATTTTTAACGTGAGAGGAATTTCCGTGTGTGCTCTTAGCTAATGTCGTGATAACATGAGGATCCCACTGTGATAAAAATCTGAAAATAATGAATATTTATGTTGAAAGAGTGACAGTTCTTCAGGAAATACATGATTTTTTTAAAAGGCTACCTTATATCTCCTCGAATTTTTCCTATGACTGAGCCTGTCACGGCAAAAGGAGTTCATTTGCTTCGGCCCAGTGGCTTTCACTGTGTGAAAATTCAGCTGTAAAACCAGCAGAAGAATAAATCAAGTATCTGTCCTTCGCGAGGAAGAGTTACACCCCGTTACATGACACTTCGTAAGCTGGCATTTATTTTGGCTATTTTTCCCCGTCGTTTCATGACCGCCAGCCTCCATCCACCCTCCCCTGCTCCTCCCGATGCTTCCCTTCCCTTCCCGACCTCCAAGCGTGCCCGGGAGAGCCCGGGCTGGTGCGTGCCAAAGCCTTCGCTCCATGTCTTTATACAACTGCGAAGAACTGGAAAGGCAAATCCCTGCAGGCGTTTGACCCGGACTGAATTGTCACCTTGTCCCGGCGCCTCTCCTGTGGCTAACAGGGGTGGTGGGTTGCATCCCCAGCCAGCGCCACGGCCTTCTGCCGCCGCCACGGTTTTCTGGGCGTTCGGTGAAGTGCCGGCTATCCCGGTTTTGGTTCTTTCTGAAGCCTGCTCCTCTTGAGCCCCGGCGGCGGGGCGAGCAGCGCTGGTGCCGGGGCCGCTGCAGCTCAGGCACCCGCCTTGGAGACTCTGACCCCGCAGCTTTACCGTTCAGTTTGACAACAAGCAACGAAACGAAGCAAACTCATAAATTAGGGAATAAGTCAGCAAGAGGCATAAAACCCATACTCGTTTTCTTTACAGCGCGTACGGGGAGCTGTTAGACCTTTATAACTCAGGCTCTGCAGGTACTGCGGAAAGCTGAGGTGCAAAGCCAAATTTCCGTCGGTGGGAGGGGGCCCTTTCCGGGCGTAATTTGTGTTGAGCTGGAGTCATGTCTGAAAGCAGTTAGGCTGGATGGCTGCAGGAAAATAGGAAAAACCAGGCGTTGGGTTGAGATGAATGTATATCGGCGTGAGCGGGAGGGCTGGGGTGCGTGGGGAGAGGTGGAGGAGAAGGGACCGTCCAGGGGACACGGGAGGGTTTTTCCTCATCTCTTTCCGGGCCAGGGCCCATCTCATTTTTCCCAGGTAGCCGCTCTTGCCGTGCGGTAGTTGGGCTGCGCTGGAATCGTTACCTCACTGATGAAGTCATCCGCTAGGTGTTCACCTATCCCTTGGGAAACCTCCCCGGCAGTCAGGGAGCTTTGCGGGATACCCGTCAAATGAGCGCAAGGGAAGAGAGCTGTAACTTTTCGCTGTACGAGTTAAAAACACGGCGTTTTGACCGCTTTTCCTCTGAAATGCGCATCAAACTTTCACGCAAGCCTGGGAGCCTCGGGCGCAGCAAGTAAGGGGACAGCTGGGGTCTGCTTGGACAAGAGCGGGACGCGGTCACCTCTGGGTAGGGGGGAGATTGCTCTCACAAGTCGGTGGCACGGGCACCCCCTGTTCGGCTGGGGCGGGGATGGGTGGCGCTGGAGGGGCGGGGCAGGGCGGGGCAGGGGGTGGCAGAGCAGGCACCGCCCTTCCCAAGAGACCCTCCCCGCTCCGCGGGTGCGGCCCGGAGGGAAAACCCCGTGCCAGGCACCAGCGTGCACTGAGCGGAAAGCCCCGAGCCGTTTGGTCTGTCACGATACAGCGGAGTAGAGACGTCACTGTCCGATAAATCCCGCGGCGCAGGGAAGCTGTTCTTTCAAGGCGCCCGTTCTGCCTCCGCAGAGGCTTTGTTTGGAAGCGCAGAAGTGTCCGACGCGTGTTTTATTGAAGCGCCGGCACAGCCAGCGTGCTGCCTGGGAGGTCCTTGCTGCTGTCCAACCTCTGTGCTCGCTTCCTCTCTGTCTGGGCACTGGGTGTATTCAAGCACCCTTTTTTTTTTCCCCCGACCTGTCCATCTTTAATCTTTCAGCATTAAATCTGGCATTCAGATATCTTTTCTGAAGCCCTCTGCGCTTTCAGGGTTATTCTCTGGTACCCGCAGAACTTGTACGGACCGTTTTCGAAGGCGGTGCGGGAGCAGCAGTGGGAGAGGGCAGGGTTGGGAAAGGCATTTGGGGGAGGCATCCCCTGACCCTCCCGCTGGCCAGAGAGTGGAGGTTTGGGCTGACTGATGCCCACGGCTCTCCTTCATCCCATCTCTCAGGATTTTCAAAAAGCCTCTCGGCCTCTGTCCCTGACCTCCCCTCCTGTAGCTGAATCCCAGCACTCGTCTTTGCGAGGCGCAGAGGGGCTGAGGTCAAGAGGGGCTTTCCCCGCGCCCCAGGTTGAAGCCGTCACTAACGTCCCGCACCAGCTTGCTTTCTGCACCACTCAGCATCCTAAGGGGAGAGCTGATCTGGAAACGGCGATGCTGAAGGTGCTGATACTAAAGGTGATGCTTTGGGCTGTCGCAGCTGGTGCCTGCCCTGACCGATGGGTGCAGGGACCGATCCTGCAGTGGCGGGACCCCCCAGTCCCTCGCTGTCATGGCGGAGGCTGGGACGGCGGTGCCCGGCGAGACCACACGGCCGCCCGGCTCCAAAATCCCATCCCGGCACGGCACAGCTCGCCCCAGAGCTGGGTGCCCCTGCCCACCCTTGTGCAGGCAGGCAGCAGGGTTTGGCTATTGCTTGTGGGGTATTTGTGCCTTTGATCCAGTTCAACGCTGACACACGAGTAGAAGGTCCGCTGCTGTGATACCGGTGTGATGGCAGCGATTGCCTCCCACCCGCCGTCTCCTGCTCGGCGGCGCAGGCTGTTGGCTTCGCCATGGGTTGGTTTGGCCAGTTGGTGCAGAGCGGCGCTGCCTCTTGTTTTACCCATCCAAATAGTCTTCAGGCTTTCCTGGGGCTCGCTCCTGGCTGCTGCGGCATTTCTCCTCCTGAGCGCCCGATGCTGAGCACCCCAAACCCGCATCAGCTTCGGCTGAGGCGCTGTATTAAAAAAAAAAAAAAAAAAAAAAAAACTTTTGTTTTGTTTTGTAAAATGGGGCTTGCTCTTGGCCCTGTCTGCGCAGGGGATGTTCAGGTTCACGAAGCCGGGGAGCTGCTGTACCGCCCGGGGAGGCGATGCTGGGCTGCCTGCCTCCATCCCACGGCCCTGCTCCTCTCTTGGGTTCGGGGGGCCCCGAAGCCTGCGGGCAAGTTACTCAGCATCCCGCAGCCCTCAGCCTTTTGCTCTTTGTTTTTTTGGGTTTGGGGTGGTTTTTTCCTTTAATGAGACCTTTGCTCCCCCTGGCCCGGCCGAGGGATGCCGGCGGAGGAGGGCCAGGCGCTCGTCCCAGCCCCGCCGCGGCCGTGCTTCGCTGGTGGATTTCTCTTCCCTTTCGCTGTGACCTGCGAACGTCGGAGCAGGCGCTCTGCCAATTTTGTGATCTGCTGCCTGCTTCAAAATGGAGGCAGGAAGGTATCCATTTTCATCAAGGAGATGACAGTGCTTCAGTCTTCCTGACCATCTGGAGAGAGGCACCTCCAGCGCAGAAACAAAGCGCGGAGGAATATAGAAAGCATATAGGCAGAGGGAATAAACTGCGCTGTAAATAATAAATAACGCTCCTCAGCCCGGGCTGGTTTGGGGGGATTTTTTGGGGGGTTTGTTTTGTTTTTAAATGCTGTCCTGGTTGAACTAAGCTAAAGCAAGAAATACAACAGCTATTTTCTAAAGGGCAAGTTGCAGAAAGCTCTGGTGTATTAGTAAACAAATATAAGTAAATGAGCGTTTTGGCACGCGCGCTGAGTTTATTGCACAGACAAATAGAATAAGGCCGAAGGAAGGAGGAGTTGTTCCCCTGATGTGTACACATGCTGTGTTGGTGGTCTTGTGTAGATCCGGGTTTTTAATAGTCCTTTCAAGCTTCTCTGGAAAGAGCTTGATCCATGGGAATTTCGTATCCCAAGATATGTTTGTAATTTTCAGTGTTCTTGATAATGCTGTTTTTCTAAATTTCCCTTTTTTTATTAGTTTGGGAAATGATTTTTTTTTTACTTTCTTGCAGTGCTTTCGGTTTTGTTCTTAAGTGGGTAAAGTCTGTACGCTTTCGTAGTGAGAAAATCAGCATTGTTTCAAGTTCCTGTTTATTTTAAGCTCCGCAGTGCTCTAGGAAGAGCATAACGTACATCTGTTTGTTCATTTTATTTACAGAAATCCATAGTTTGACAAATACCTTGCAAATATCCTTGTTGAAAGCTGGAAAATGTCAGGCTGGGGTTTCTTTTGAAGCTTAAAATTTATATCCCAGTCACACACATACTGAGGTTTTTGTGTTCTGAGAGAAGAATTATGTGGTGTTGTGAACTGATTTATACTGAGCAAGGTAAAAACTCAATATTTCTTTCCTGCTTCCTGCTAAAGGCGTACTAAATTAGTCTTTTTTCCTTAGGTTTATGCCCCGTCAGCAAGCACTGCCGACTACAATAGGGATTCACCAGGTTATCCATCCTCAAAACCAGCAGCCAGCACTTTTCCTAGCTCCTTCTTCATGCAAGGTAAGACACTGCTTTCAAAGGGAAATCTGGTTTGCATACATTTTCTGTGTTTGTATTTTGGTTGATAGGTAGTGGAGACAGGCTGGAATATCATCTCGTGGTCTGTAACGTTACCATTAAAAGGAAGCCCTGTGCCTCTTCGTTTGACCATTGTGCCCCTGCACATCTTGTTTTGATCCCGTGGTGAAGCGGCGTGATGAATAACTTGCCAGCCTCTTATCACCTGAGGTTCTTCAAGCCTTTTTTCCCAGCGTGCGCGTGTGCACGTATATTATGCATACGCTAAATGCACACAAGTTTGCGCGTGTACTTTGTGCATTGTTTTACGTTAATGGGAAAGATTTTGTCTTACGTAAAGCGTGCGGTGCTACAGATACCCCTATGTACGTGCATATGGAATTAGAGCAACCTTTTTAAAATGAAGCCGTTTCTCTCATTTGAGGATGGGTTGATAGTTTTCAGGTATTCACCGCTACCATGTGGTATTTCTCGCAATGATTACGTGCAAGTACAATGAAATTTGGTCTAACTTAGTGAATAAGATTCCTAGAGTTTGGAAGGATTCACACACAATTAAGAGTGCTCATCGTTTGCCACATTTAGGGCAAAGCAATTAGCTTTTAAACACTTCTACGTATACTCTGCTTTAGGCTAAGCAAAGGGTAAGTAAACCTGTTTAATTCAGCA